CCCCCCCCCCCCCCAAAACAAAAACTGCATGTCTACATGCAATAGTTGTCTATCAAGTTAATCGGTGACGTGACTTCCTCTTGCCTTTCAGCTCTGTCTGGAATGCGAGAAGCCTATCCCATTGAGAAACTTCAGCGCCTACGCCTGGACTCATGTTTATCACGCGGTAAGCTCTTCCCCCCCCCCCTAACTCAGATCTGAATTAGATGACCACTCAGACGAGTCCTACATCAAACGGTGCAGATGGTGGGTGTCCAACAATTCATCTGGAGTGTAGCTTTGTGCGTGACATGCATACAAAGTTACTCTAAGTTTCGTCAATACGCTTAGCAGACACATGCACATCTAACATATATATTGATCTATTAGAAAGACTTTGACTTGGTTTGCTTGTAATTAGTTTTTGTAGTGTTGCGTTTGTTTTAAATGTGGTAAATTATAAGTTGTTGTTTTGTGTGTTTTTTTGTGTTGTTTTTTTACTTTGTACCGCGCTTCGAGCCTTTTGGGATGAAGCGTGTTTTTGAAATAAACTTTATTTTTTATTATACACTTAAAGCAGTGCAAAATTTATACCGGTAAGGAGAAAAATAACAAAAATAGACAAGAAATGTAGACTAACATCCCCGTTGGCAAGTCATTCGGGAAATGCTTAACCACGAGACTGTCAAACAATCAGACCACAATACTAACGACCGAACAGACTCTGTAAGCTTTCATCTGTCCTTTATAAGTTTGTTCTCAGTAAGCTGTCCTTTGTCGCTGTAACTGTTCTTTGTCTCTGTAAGCTGTCCTTTGTCTATGTAACTGCGCCCTGTCTCTGTAAGCTGTCCTTTGTCTCTGTAAGCTGCTCTCTGTAATTGCTCCTTTTCTCTGTAACTGCTCTTTGTCTCTGTAACTGCTTTTTGTCTGTGTAACTGCTCTTTGTCTCTGTAAGCGGATCTATTTTTCTGTAATGAGCACTCTGTCTATGTGAGCTGATCTCTTTCTCTGTTAGCTCTTCTCTGTAAGCTCTTCTCTTTAAGCTCTTCTCTGTAAGCTCTTCTCTGTAAGCTCTTCTCTGTAAGCTGTCTTGAGTAAGCCATTATGATTCTCTGTATTCTATCTACTGTGTCTATAGATATCTCGTTTCTCTTTTGACCTCAACAGGCGGACGACGGACCTCCGAGCCTTGACCAACAGGACATGCGTAGAGTGTCATTGGGGGAAGGTGAACAACTGTTTTTTAAACCTCTACAGGACAACCCTGAGGGTATCTACAGGGAGCTCAAGTTGAAGTATGTCGAGAACTCGAGAGAGTGGGACGACATGGGCATCACCACCTACTTATTTTCGGCCAAAGTTTTTCCTACTCACCCTGGGGAATTTAGGTTTGTAGTCGCACCTCTGGACTGAACACCTTCACCCCTGCCTGGTTGGGGGGGGGGGTGTAGTCCCACCTCTGGGATGAACACCTTCACTGGGGGGCGGGGGTGTAGTCCCACCTCTGGACTGAACACCTTCAGTCCTACCTGGGAAGGGAGGGTAGTCCCACCTCTGGGATGAACACCTTCACTCCTACCTGCCCACCCCTCAATCTCACACCAGCACTGGCTAAAACTGAATGGTTTGTCATAGCTTAAAGGAATGATCAGCAAAATATAAACCCTCTTCACTCTCAACCTGCACTATAAACCCTCTTCACCCTCAACCTATAATATAAACCCTCTTCACTCTCAACCTGCACTATAAACCCTCTTCACTCTCAACCTACAATATAAACCCTCTTCACTCCAAAAATACAGCTACTTTGTCAATCTTTGGATTCACCCACTAATCTTGAGCACTCTACTTTCTCCCAACGAATTACCATTGGTCGACCCAATCATGGATGAGATGTCATGTCGTGGCCGTGTCATTAAAATCAGCCAACAACCAAAATCCAAACATCTCATCTCCTTTCAGCTTTCTTTTCTTATAATCACGTCAGAAGATATAATAAAATAGTTATGTTCAAGTCCCCAGCGAAAAAAAAATTAATTTCCTTTGTATAAAGTTCACGATGTCACGCTATATAATACAATACTCGCAGTATTGGCTCTCATGGGGCGACAATTTGGCAACATAAGAACCTTTGACAGCAGTCTGGGGAAAATCAAGTTCCAAGGGGCGTAGCATGTCTGAATGGGCGTTCATGAGCAGCGCCGTACGTACCTGCACAGTGTGGCACCGTGGTGCGTCCATCTTCTGACTAAATGATGTGTGAGGTGTGTCTCGGGGAATTCCCCACTGAGCACACACAGCACGCACCATCTCATTAAACCTTTTCACATCCCAGACAACTTCCTTCGACCACCCATGACCGAAATGCGATTCTTCCACCCTACACAATCTCAGAAACACATCTCTCAAAAAACATTTCACAGCAACCATCACAATTACCGACATCCCACCACTTATGATGAACAACATCGCATTATTAAAAGGATTTTTTTTACTTTTTTTTTTAATCCATGACCTTTTCCTTGGCACAGACTGACCTACAATGTTAAATATAAGCTGCCGGACACGACCAAGGTCATGGTCTGGGCCAACAAGTTTCAAGAGGACTGCATGGTCACAGTGACACTGCCCAGGGCGCCAAACAGTTGGACGCAAGCAGCTGAAGTCTCTCAGGTCAGTTTCGTCAGCTCATGTCTCTCAGGTCAGTTTGGTCAGCTCAAGTCTCTCAGGTCAGTTTGGTCAGCTCAAGTCTCTCAGGTCAGTTTGGTCAGCTCAAGTCTCTTAGGTCAGTTTTGGTCAGCTCAAGTCTCTCAGGTCAGTTTGGTCAGCTCATGTCTCTCAGGTCAGTTTGGTCAGCTCAAGTCTCTTAGGTCAGTTTTGGTCAGCTCAAGTCTCTCAGGTCAGTTTGGTCAGCTCAAGTCTCTCAGGTCATTTCTGTCAGCTCAAGTCTCTCAGGTCAGTTTGGTCAGCTCATGTCTCTCAGGTCAGTTTTGTCAGCTCAAGTCTCTCGTTTTGTCAGCTCAAGTCTCTCAGGTCAGTTCTGTCAGCTCAAGTCTCTCAGGTCAGTTCTGTCAGCTCAAGTCTCTCAGATCAGT